TGACAGGCTGCTGGAGCCTCAACATTTAAGGCGTGCAAGCGGGATGGGGCCAGGTTGTGTGGCAGCTGTAGTGGGATCTGTTTTGGGGCTGGCTGCCAGCTCTGGACTCTGCCCCAGGTGTCTGATCCTGCACTGGGGCAGGTAACTGCTGGAGGTCACTGGGAGCTTGTTTCCTGGCTGCTCACCTCCCGCCCTGGCTTGCTGGGCAGCATGTTCCAGGAAGGGTTTGGGAGCTGATGTAGAGGCTGAGATCAGAGCTGGGGCAGGAGTCAAGAAAACCTGAAAATCGTGGGAAGAGTCGGTGTGGCCTGAGCCCAGCACCAAGCTCGAGCTGTGGATGGGCTCAGCTGGGACCCTGAGCCTGGCTGCCCTGCCCTCCTGTCCCATCTCACCTCTCCTGTCCATCCCCAAGGCTCAGGCACCCCACTGGGTCAGTATTCCTCCTCTGAGCCCACCCTGTGCACACACTCTAATCATTGCCCAGACCTGTGGTGACACATGAGCATGAACTCTTCCATCCTGATCTCGGGGTCTGCACAGGCACCAGTGCCCAACTGCCAAAAACCTTCCAGTGCCTCCGCTGTGGAAGGGGCTGAAGGGACGTGTGTTGGCATGCTAAAAAAACTGTCTGCAGGGAGCTCGGCAGAGCTGCAGCTGCGTGGAGCAGCCACGTCCTTCCCTGTGCTCCTGCATCCTGCAGTGACTGCAGGGAAATTCCAGCCCCGCCTTGGTGGGAGTGCACCTCCAGGATCCCAGCACCCAGAGAGTTAACAGAGCCTTTTCTCAGTATCAGCTTTGTAGTTTGGTGGTTGCTTCCTTGTAGAGCCAGACAATGTTCTTGTTGTGATCCTTATCTCTGGCTGCTTTGCATGTGCTCTGCTTTGTGCTCCTTGAAAGCTGAGCTCCACTATCCCTTGTGAGGACTTGTTCTCTCCAGGTAATTAGGGAGCTCTGGATGAGCAGGCTAATGGCACAGCCCTCCTCTCTTTTCTAGTGGTCTGTAAGAAGAACTTGGACAGCACGACTGTTGCTGTGCATGGAGAGGAGATCTACTGCAAGTCCTGCTATGGCAAGAAGTACGGCCCCAAGGGCTACGGATACGGGCAGGGAGCAGGAACCCTGAGCACTGACAAGGGCGAGTCTCTGGGAATCAAATATGAAGAGTGAGTTTAAGTCTTGTTTTCAAAAAGAAAAAGGGGGCACCTTCTCCCCCACATCTGCTGGCTTGTGGTGCTTGGCTGTGTAGCCCACGCTGAGCTTCCAGCAGCGTGTGAGCTGGAGGGTGCTGTGGGCTGTGCTGCCCTTCTGCTCCTCAGGGGAAACCCACTGAACCCGGATCAGGAGGTGGGATGGGGCTTGATGGGACATGTCCCTGAGCATGCTGCCACCCCCTGCGGGCACAGCTCTGAGAAGGGAGTTGCCCCGGGGCTCAACACGTTGTGCCTAAAGCTCTGGGCCCTTGGAAACTGGGCTGAGATTTTTGGTCCCACAGATATTCCCTCCTCCAGCTGGGTTGTGCAGCCCTGATCATGAACTCCCTCCCACCCACAGGGGCCAGCCCCACCGGCCCACCAACCCCAATGCATCCAGAATGGCCCAGAAGGTGGGAGGTGCTGACGGGTGCCCTCGCTGCGGCCAGGCCGTGTATGCAGCCGAGAAGGTGATTGGAGCTGGGAAGGTAAGAAGGGGATGGAGGGGAGGGGGCACACACAAGTTGCTGTGTGGCAGGGAGACCTTCAGAGAAGGTCTTAACCTGACCAGTGGCTCCAGCCAGGGCTGGGCTTGGGCTTTGGTGGCCGTGCTCACTTGGGAGCCTGGCACTAGAAGGAGATCTTGGCATGTCTGGAAACAAGGTCCTCTAGGCTGCATCACTCTTACACATACCTGTGGATGGGAGAGAAATACATTTTATATTAAATATTCAGAGCACTGCTCAGCAGAGGTCACAGTGGACATCCCTGCTGCTAGATGTGTTGGGAGGATGAGCAGAGATGTGGGCCATGGCCATTGTCACCACTAACAACAGGTCCAATGTCCAGCAAACCTTCCCCACCTTCTGCTGCAGATGGGGAGGCTGCAGCCCCAGCTCAGGGCAGGGGATGAGTTCCAGCAGTCAGTGCTGTCCATAGGCAGGGCAGGGTGCTGGGGGTGTGGGCACGGGCTTGGTGGATCTCTTGGGCTGTTCTGCTGGTAGGCTGCCTCTGCTCAGGGTCAGATGTGAAGGACACTGTGACAGCCCTAGTACTTCCTCTGGCAGGACTTTACCAGGGTCCTTTGCATCCTGAGCTGCGGCCTCATCCTAGTCCAGCTCTGGGAAGGCCTCTGCAAGGCGTGGGGGCACCTTCTGCTCTGTCAGCCCTGGCACCCTGGGTGAGGTCCCTGCCCCAGGGCAGCCTCTGAGGTCACGTACGTGCACAGAGCTTGCCAAGGCAGCCAGGTCAGGCTGTTGTGCTGCAGGGGACAGGGTGGCAGTGCTGGGAAAGCCTCACTGGTGACGTAGTGTCACTCCCTGACCCCTGCTGTGCTCCCTGGGGTGTCCTCTGTCCTCAGAGCAAGGAAAGGAGGCAAACAACAGTCAACTCTAGTCAACAAAAGGGCCTCCCAGCACCATCATACCCTAGCTGGCAGTGCAGGGGTTTGTGATGGGCATGTTGAGGTTCAGCCCAGGGTCAGAAACCAAACTTAATCTTAAAATCATGATCTGGGCTTCCTGGTAGGCTTCTGGCCTTAGTGTTTATGGGGAACCAAACCTGGCAAAGCGCCTGCACTCAAGCAAACCCGAGGGGGATTCCAGAGCATGTAGTTCATGTGCTAATGTTTGCTGGATGACTCCTCCTGCCACCTCCTCCTCCAGCTCCCTAATTTCACATTTTTTTCCAAAAAAGGTCTCATGTTTTCCAAAGTGTTTGTTTAAATTCCTCCATGAGTAGCTCTGGCTACTCTAGGTCTGCTCAAAGGCTGTGAGCTCATTTGTCCCAGGGGACCGGGGCAGCGGTGGGGGGTGTTTATTTTTAAACACTGGCTGATTTCTGCATTCTTTGTGTCTGTTTGCTGCCTTCCTTGGAGCTGGAGCTGTGCAGGGGCAGGTGTCCCAACCCTGCTGCCACCCTCCAGGGGAACAAACAGCAGCAGCAGATCTCAGCTGGGTGACTTGGGAGGTTTAACATGCTGCTTGAGGGAGGACAATACACAAAGAGAGTTGTGGTTGCTCCTTACAAATGACTGACTGCCACGAGTGGGGTGAGAGCTCTCTGGAACCAGGTCAGTGTGGGAGCAGTGACCACACCTGATGTTTCCTCTCTTATCCCCCACCACCGGGCTGGGTCCACTGCTCTTCCTCGAGAAAAGCTTTCATCTCATTCAGACCTCTTTGCCAAAGGCTTTGGGTCAGAAACAGAAAAGTGACCCTGTTTGGCAGCCAGAGTGTTGCTGCCCTGTCCCTGGGTGTTGTCTGACCGGGCTCTGCTCCTGTCCCACAGTCCTGGCACAAGTCCTGCTTCCGCTGTGCCAAATGTGGCAAAAGCCTGGAGTCCACCACCCTGGCAGACAAAGATGGGGAGATCTACTGCAAAGGTGAGTGCCACTTTCCCTGCTGGACTCTGAAGAGTGGGGGCAGGGAGTGAAACCCCTGTGCAGGGAGCTGGGATGGGCCGGAGGTGTGGGGAGGTGGTGGCCCCAGCAGCTGCGTGTGGGGACCGGCTGGCCTTGGAACTGGGGACTTCCAAGTGCTTGAGGCCTCTCTGTTTGCCCAACAAACATGGCAAACCCTGTCCTGTGTAGGCAGTGCCTGCTTCAAGAGGAGAACGTGCTTGTGTTCAGCTGCCGGCCTCACCCGTCTCT